TTTCACCCATGGTATTTATTTCTGCCTGTCTTTTATAAATTTTTGTATGCATTTCTGCCTCATTATGCAAATGAGGAGGGTCTGTGTCTCAAGGGGTCATCTTCTCTGCTATTGGTGGACCAGTCAGACAGGAGAGCTCCTACTCTGCCTGCAGACATCAACGATCTTGCCCCTCACACAGTCAGATGGCTTCCTTCAGTGCGCTGAGGTGTTTAACAACTCTGAAGACAATACTACCAGCAATGTCTTCCTTCTCTTTTCACGTAGACGCTCCGACAGACTGTGCTTTCAGTTTGCTGCATGCATGGACACAGAACTGCGGTATAGGGAGAAGCACACGGTCAGCTGGCTGCAGCTAAATCTGGAGTGCACTCGTATTCAATTCTGTATGGTAAATTCAGTTTTAACGGAGCAGAGCGAGCTGACAGGCAGAGTTAGAGACTTTTTCAGTCTGTTTCTCTCTTTACAAAGACGCATGTTGCAGTCAGAGTCTTCTCTGAAGAGGGCAATGAAGTCTTAGTAGTACCCGATGCGAGCACCACATACAACACAATTTATCAAATTACACAACGGATATACAGTATGAAAATAAGATTGATTGGATTATACTCACAGGAAGTATAAAACCTGTTACATGCGTAACACAGTAATGTCAGGGAAATTACTTTACTTAGATTTAAGTACTGCAGTTGTACATTTGAAATACCTTCCTACCTTTCTGATAGGAAGCCTTCTTAAGGTGGTATAAAACATTTCTTCTTATATTCTGATTTGAGTTGTGGACAACTATGACCACATGAATTAAAAAATTAAACATTTCACTGCCCAAGTCTGCTATAACACAAGTCTTGTTCATTAGACTACATGCTGTACAGTATTTGTGGACAGATTTTGTCCCAGGATTTATTATGCATTTCTTCTTCTTCGTTGCATGATTTAGAATAATAAGGTGAGAAATGGGTTTATTCTGAGTTCATCCTGCACTGCAGCAGCTAATGAAGTCCATTTAATCCCAAAAATGCTTTTCTTTTAGGCAGGCTGGAGCAGAAAACAACTCACCTTTCTCAAGTTGTACAGTAATGTCACATGTGTATGAAGGTGGATCAAACAAGCTAATCTTAAATGTCAAAGTAGAGAGGAGCCTAGTAGGCCTATTTATTTTCATTCATTACACAATATGAATAAGCTATGCAGACAGTTGTAAAGAAACAACATCTTTTTCTTCTGTTCTCTACTTGTTATAGTTACACAGTATTAGGGGTGTGGGCTGTATTAAAAGTATCCACTGTTCTCCCATGCTCTAACACACAGTAACGATGAAATGTGTGCTGTTCTCACATTCTTCCTCTGTATGTACACATAAACAACAAGGCAGGGAATATAAAAGGAATTTATTTTATTGTTTGGGTACATTATTGTTCAGTGTGCATGCTCACATCTGAAACAAACTTTACGTGCTTGATAACTCTCCCACCCCGCAGTCATCTACACACCAATACCGATTTATATTCATAGCAGCAAGTGCTATGTAGCTCCACATAGGGGACACAGGAAGTGACATATAGCACCTTCATGTGGCGTCAGAACCGCGTAGGAAATTCACAGCCGCACCGGCAGAGCTCCAGAATATGCAACTCGGCCGGCTCACGCGCGGACGCACTACAAGTGCGAGGGCCCGCACTACAAGTGCGAGGGCCCGCCCTACAAGTGCGAGGGCCCGCCCAACGCTGCTTGCAGCTTTAATTTTGCATTGAGTTTGTTATCAGATCAGCAGCTTGAGCTGCACTGTTAGCATGTACAAAGATTACTGTGTCATCTGCATACATTTGGATGTTGGCATTAAGAAAAATATTTGGCAGATCATTAACATACAGAGAAAATAAAAGTGGACCCAAGATCACACCCTGCAGAACACCCGCAGTCAAGGAAATAGCACCTGATTGATGATTGTTCACTTTAACAAAATGAGTCTGATGTGTTAAGTATGATTCTACCCATTAAATGGTGCCTGTTACATGTATATACTTTAGATAGGAGAACTCCATGATTAATGGTGTCAAATGCTTTCTTAAATTTAGGCAGACAGCACCAACAACCCTGAATACGAAAGCAGAATTGATATGGATGTAAAGGACAAGAACTGGCATTTAAATGGTTTGTCATTTGTGCGGAGCCCCCTCCAAAACTGACAGCAGGATACTAATGGGTCTGTAGTTGCAGGTGGATAGGCAGTAACCTCCTTTAAATACATTCATCCATCCATCCATCATCAACTGCTTATTCTGCGTACAGGTTCGTGGGGGGCTGGAGCCTGTCCCAGCTGACATTGGGCGAAAGGTGGGGTACACCCTGGACAAGTAGCCAGTCCATCGCAGGGCCTACTTTAAATACAGGAAAGACTCATTTCCACACATTTGAGAACGTTCCCTGAGTGAATTAAATGTTTACAATTTTCGTAATTGGATAGACTAATGATTGAGAGAGCTCTGTGTTCATACCAATAACATCAACAACACGAGATGGCCTAAGAGATCTCATATCTGCCTCAGTGATAGATAATATGTTGAAAGCTGATTCTGTCTGTCTGACTTGTTCGTTTGTTTAGAGGAAAAATGGTTTTATTTTCTACTGAATCAATGAAATTATTATTGACAGCATCAGCTACTTAAACTAGCTTGTTCCTGATTACAGAAACAGAACTATATACCCCTATTATATGTGGTGTATGTAGGTTTAAAGAAAAACACTGTCTGTTTAATATGCTTAAAAAAATCAAAAACACCAAATAACTCACTGAAAAGCATCCGAAGACACTGCTTTTCCCCGGAAAACCTTAACCCTTAAACAAAATGTTCTTTCTCATTAAATATTTCTCCCTCAGAGATGAGAATGTGTTTAACAATGAAATGCTTGACATGATCAAAAGATGTTTTTTCATCTAGTCAGGTTAAAGTTTACGGTGTACTTATTTGCAGTGCAATGGAAGAAGACATGCAAGTCTTTTGTTGAACATCAAATGTTTTATTCACAAACAAGCTTCACAGTGAAATTTGATGGCCATCATGATGCATTCAGAGTATTACAAAGTGAGTAAAAGAGCATTACAGTTTATATTCAAAGCTTGTAGTGTAGGCGTATTCTGAACAAACACAGATCATCACAATCCTAACCATCCTAAAATGATCAGTATAAAACATTTGGATAGACAAACTAGATACAAGGGTATCACTTTGTGTTGAAAAGTGGTGGGGACATTTGAGTACAGTTGTGACAAAACACTTAGTGCCCGAGACGTGACAATGGAGAATATTGGGGTCACAAGAACAAGACTAGGAGATATTTTAATACTATTTAAAATAAATATTCATTGATGAAATACAGTGGGTACGGAAAGTATTCAGACCCCTTTAAATTTTTCACTCTTTGTTTCATTTCAGCCATTTTCCAAAAATCAAAAAGTTCATTTTATTTCTCAGTAATGTACACTCAGCACCCCATCTTGACAGAAAAAAACAGAAATGTAGAAATTTTTGCAAATTTATTAAAAAAGAAAAACTGAAATATCACATGGTCATAAGTATTCAGACCCTTTGCTCAGTATTTAGTAGAAGCACCCTTTTGATCTAATACAGCCATGAGTCGTTTTGGGAAAGATGCAACAAGTTTTTCACATCTGGATTTGGGTATCCTCTGCCATTCCTCCTTGCAGATCCTCTCCAGTTCTGTCAGGTTGGATGGTAAACGTTGGTGGACAGCCATTTTCAGGTCTCTCCAGAGATGCTCACTTGGGTTTAAGTCAGGGCTCTGGCTGGGCCATTCAAGAACAGCCACGGAGTTGTTGTGAAGCCACTCCTTCGTTATTTTAGCGGTGTGCTTAGGGTCATTGTCTTGTTGGAAGGTAAACCTTCGGCCCAGTCTGAGGTCCAGAGCACTCTGGAAAAGGTTTTCGTCCAGGATATCCCTGTACTTGGCCGCATTCACCTTTCCCTCGATTGCAACCAGTCGTCCTGTCCCTGCAACTGAAAAACACCCCCACAGCATGATGCTGCCACCACCATGCTTCACTGTTGAGACTGTATTGGACAGGTGATGAGCAGTGCCTGGTTTTCTCCACACATACCGCTTAGAATTAAGGCCAAAAAGTTCTATCTTGGTCTCATCAGACCAGAGGATCTTATTTATCACCATCTTGGAGTCCTTCAGGTGTTTTTTTAGCAAACTCCATGCGGGCTTTCATGTGTCTTGCACTGAGGAGAAGCTTCCTGTCGGGCCACTCTGCCATAAAGCCCCGACTGGTGGATTGCTGCAGTGATGGTTGACTTACTACAACTTTCTCCCATCTCCCGACTGCATCTCTGGAGCTCAGCCACAGTGACCTTTGGGTTCTTCTTTACCTCTCTCACCAAGGCTCTTCTCCCCCGATAGCTCAGTTTGGCCGGACGGCCAGCTCTAGGAAGGGTTCTGGTCGTCCCAAACGTCTTCCATTTGAGGATTATGGAGGCCACTGTGCTCTTAGGAATCTTAAGTGCAGCAGAAATTTTTTGTAACCTTGGCCAGATCTGTGCCTTGCCAAAATTCTGTCTCTGAGCTCTTCAGGCAGTTCCTTTGACCTCATGATTCTCATTTGCTCTGACATGCACTGTGAGCTGTAAGGTCTTATATAGACAGGTGTGTGGCTTTCCTAATCAAGTCCAATCAGTATAATCAAACACAGCTGGACTCAAATGAAGGTGTAGAACCATCTCATGGATGATCAGAAGAAATAGACAGCACCTGAGTTAAATATGAGTGTCACAGCAAAGGGTCTGAATACTTATGACCATGTGATATTTCAGTTTTTCTTTTTTAATAAATTAGCAAAAATTTCTACATTTCTGTATTTTTCTGTCAAGATGGGGTGCTGAGTGTACATTACTGAGAAATAAAATGAACTTTTTTGATTTTTGGAAAATGGCTGCAATGAAACCAAGAGTGAAAAATTTAAAGGGGTCTGAATACTTTCCGTACCCACTGTATACGATTGGGGGTTCGGGGGGTCCTCCCCAGATGATTTTGAGCATTAAACACTCTCGTGCCAAAAAACTTTCTGATAGCACTTACATTTGTTATTTAACATTTGTTTTTGAATACTATTTTTCAGTACATTTTTCACAAAAAGAAGTGGGGACCCAGTGTACACCTATAACTAGATAGCTAGTTACCTTCAGGTCTGGACTTTGGGGAGCTCTAATGACCAAGGAGTGCAGGGTATATATTTTTTGTTTTGTTTATTATACCTTTATTTTACCATTTTACCATTTTATCTGCTCATCAGGTCTGTTGCTGGGTGTTTGCGAATAGGGTCCTTTACATTTACAACAAATTTATTAGTCATTGTACAGCACAAGCCTGTATAACGAAACACAATTTGTAGTTCCTTAATGCTACATACACAACATATAATTAAGTGTAGGCCTAAATTAAAATATGGTAACAGTTAAAATGAAATAAAACAATATATACTATACAAATCATACAACTAATGACAGAACAAGACCACCTATGACAGAGCAGAAGAGTGAGACTTTATCTTGGCCATCCATGAATCCTGCATCCGAGATGTTTCCAGCTGAAGAGCAGAAAACAAGTGTGAGATATCAGCAAGTCTCCAGTCTACTAACCCACCTGAGGAGTCTGGACTCTACTAACCCACCTGAGGAGTCTGGAATCTACTAACCCACCTGAGGAGTCTGGACTCTACTAACCCACCTGAGGAGTCTGGAATCTACTAACCCACCTGAGGAGTCTGGACTCTACTAACCCACCTGAGGAGTCTGGAATCTACTAACCCACCTGAGGAGTCTGGACTCTACTAACCCACCCGAGGAGTCTGGACTGTACTAACCCACCGGAGGAGTCTGGACTCTACTAACCCACCGGAGGAGTCTGGACTCTACTAACCCACCGGAGGAGTCTGGACTCTACTAACCCACCGGAGGAGTCTGGACTCTACTAACCCACCTGAGGAGTCTGGACTCTACTAACCCACCTGAGGAGTCTGGACTGTACTAACCCACCCGAGGAGTCAGGACTCTACTAACCCACCTGAGGAGTCTGGACTCTACTAACCCACCTGAGGAGTCTGGAATCCACTAACCCACCGGAGGAGTCTGGACTCTACTAACCCACCCGAGGAGTCTGGACTCTACAAACCCACCCGAGGATTCTGAACTCTACTAACCCACCTGAGTCTGTAACATTCAGCCCGATCAGGTGCTTGATCTCTTGTCGTGTGTTGGTTATAATCCGACACTCGTATGTTCCAGTGTCGTTGAAGGTGACGTTCTTCAGGACAACAGAAGCGTCTCCGTCCTTCATCTCTGGATCTCTCAGCTCCACTCGACCATGAAAAGATGGATGCTGATAGTTTTCATACGGCCGCTCGTTTCGGTAAAAGAACACGTAACCGTCTGACTTCAGGTCAGGTCTGGTCCACTCTAACAGCGTGACGGAGGCATCTCTGAGACCTTGACACTGAAGAGGGACGTCCTGTCCAGGATTCACTACCATCTCTGGCTGTTCTAAAAACATAAGCAGAAAGTTAGTCAGTAGATAGAGCAGTGGTGGCTGGCCAATAGAGGGAGATAGAGAGCCAGCCTCCTAAATGATAACTATACATTTAATTATACATTTCATTTATCATTATTATTTTGTATTTTTTGTTTAAAAAAATTTCAAACTTGGGGCACTGCATTGCAATCTCCTTGGATGGTCTTATTCCGGAGTTGGGAAGTCGTTCTTCTGACTTTGGTGTGTTGATGAGCTTTAAAGGGGGAGAGGGATCCAGATGCACACCTCCACTGAGGAGTTGCCTTCGGTGCAGGCTCCACTGACAGGTCAGGGTCCCCTTAAGCTGATGATACACGGGGCAACTTTTTGAGCAATGTTGCTGGACAATCTTGCTAGTGGCAAGTGTGGTGTCCGAACAATAATGCTGCGATGATGTGTTGAGAAGAAATCCGCTTGACACTGTTCTTGATCATAAAAGTTTATTACATCAAGGAGTTCAGCATCAATTACAAGCTCTGCAGCAGCTTGGAGAGTGACCCAGCCCGATGGCCACTCTGTCTCTCTGTACATCAAACACAGCTTATATAGGACATGTGTAGGTATCTGCTAAATACCATATAAGGGTCTGAGTCTGCAAACTAAGGCTCCAATCCATATAAGGGCACAGTGCTGTAGGATAAGTGTAAACATCTGTTAGACACCATAGAAGGGTTCAGTCCCTACATAAACACTAATCTCTACTCCCCCTAACACTGGGTCAGAGGTCAAATTCCATAGGAGGGTTCACTGTTTACACACCCATCAATCATTACTCCCCCTTAAGAGTTCACTGAGCCTCTGTCCAGCTGCTAGAGTGTTATTTTAAACTGTAATGGTCAAATGCACATATGTTATACACCACACAAGTCCGACTATGTACGATTGCTCTAAAAGTTGCCCCGTGTATCATCAGCTTCAAGGATGTAACTTAATGCATTTTGTTTTTGTTTTTTTGCTACATTACACGTTGTGACAACAATAAGTGACTGATTAGCATTTGTCAAAAGCACTGATAAAAGTCTAAATGCATGGGTCTTGGCCATCAAAATAGCTACCGCTTCTTAATATTTGTAATCACACAAATTACAGAATGTTACACATGTGGTTAGGTTACATGTGGTTTTAAGGCAGTATATGCCAACTGTGGCTAGGGTTAGCTCCTGAAGTTGTGCTGTAAGATTAGCTTTCTTTCTGTGGATGATTTATAGCGTGCAAAGACTTTTCTCCAAATGTTCAATTAACTGACTTTATGGTTTTTCTGTTAACTGATGTTGCTAGATGGAGTTTAAGTCTTATTTTGACAGATTAAATCAATAGCCCGTGTTAATAAGATACTATTACTAGTAAAATTGTTTATTTGCTATACACTATGTTGCACACTGACATAGATACCCTCGTTATGTGCTACATATACAGAATGGGCTCAAATCAATTTATGTATACTACATTAAAGGAACTAATACTTTTACATTACAATGTTGACTAATTAATTAAATATAAATCAACAACAAAATCGATTCTACTGGAAGTGTCTACATAAGTTGATTTTATTATTTTAGCATGTGTTTCCTGTCCTGACAGCGGAGTGTGGTGTATAACATATGTGCATCCAGCCATTACGTGCATCCGGCCATTACAGTTTAACATAATGCTCTGCAGCTGGTGAGAGGGACAGTGAACCCTTATGGGGAAGTAATGATTGATGGGTGCAGTGTTAGGGGAAGTAGAAATTAGGTATAAAGAGATTAGTGTGTATAAAGAGATTAGTGTGTATGAAGGGACTGTACCCTTCTGTGGTGTCTAATAGATGGTTACACTTATTTTACAGCACTGTGCCCTTATATGGTTTTTAGCAGAGATCTAAACATGTCCTATATAAGCTGTGTTCGATGTACAGAGAGACAGAGTGGTCATCGGGCTGGGTCACTCTCCAAGCTGCTGCAGAGCTTGTAATTGATGCTGAATTCTTTGATGTAATAAACTTTTATAACCAAGAACAGTGTCAAGCGGATTTCTTCTCAACACATCATCGCAGCATTATCGTTCGGACACCACAGGAGCCTGCACCTGAAGCGACTCTACAGTGGAGGCCAAATCAGGTTTCTTCTTTTGAAGCATCGAAACTTTGACTATTCGGGGACACCCCTTCACAAGTTAATAAGATCATGATCTTACAGATTTTAAAACAGCAAGACCAAACACTAGCTTACAGCCGCTACAGTCAGGATTTATTTAATAGGCATGTTTTTTTTATTTAATATTGACAGATATGGCATCCATCCCATTAATTTCCCCTGGAGAACAATGATTTATCTGCCCTGTCCTCGGTAACGGATTGCCTAGAATTAAAAAAATAAGGTAGTCATGCTGCTAGAGCTGCAGCCATCAGCTGCTTCCTGATGTCTTTTTTTTTTCTGATGAATGCACAGGGAATCTTAATGTTCATCTGCAGAGTGATTTCAGTTTGTACCAGCCAAGTAAATGCCTGGAAAATGTCCACGTCAAACTGATACTTTGGGGTTGGTTCCAGCATAAACATTCAGTTTCACTTTCAGTTTTGGTTTCAGTTATTTTAGATAAGATTTCTGTATTTGTGGGGCGTTCTCAGATTAGATTATTATTTTATATTATTCACTGTTACTAACTAACTAACGATTACTAGTATTATCTGTTGATCAGCTGCAGTTTAAACTGTCTGTCAGTGTTAAAGCACAGCTGATCTACCCTCAACATGCCATATGAAGGATCACAGGACATTACAACATGCAACATGTCAGCAGTCTCTTTGTTTAAACATAAACCTCAGATGAGTCAGTTTGAAGCAGATTTATTCACATGCTCACAGCTTACCTTTAAATGCAGCGACAAGAGCGATCAGGATGCAGGAGAGAAGGATCATATCAGCTGGGAGAGCCTTGAGAGCAGAGCCTAGCTCTCCTCCTGTAACCATGACAATTAAATGAAAGTGAAACAGCTGAATTATTTAAACTCTAACCTGCAAAATACATTCAAATTCAATACAAATACAACTGCTAGGGGAAGACGACTCTGTGATTATAGGACATTATCCTTCCCTTGTTTAATTACAGATGGCATATTTGGGTCATTGTATGTATAAAAAATAAATATTTTTTCTGTATATTCCCCCTCCCCCAGCTGTGTAAGTTGAAAGTTTAAAAAAGGATGATGTATACAAGTGAATACACAACAGAGCTTGACAGAGCTTGGACCCCCCCCAAAGAGGGCAGGGTCCAAGCCTTAATTTTAGGGCCCCCCTATTTTAGGGGGGTCTTTCTTACCTGTATTTGTAAATGTTACAATATATTTCCCATATTCATGCCTCAGTCTTAAAACACGATTTCAGACACCCCTAAAAAGGAGCCTAACTTTGACTTTAGTTGAACGTCTTGTCTGCCCGCAGTATCACTCACAGTGCAGCTGCTCCGGTCCAGTCCACCACACGCTGGTGGAGACACTGCAGGTTAATGTCAGTAGTTAGCTAGCCTATCTAGCTGCTTTAATACACTTTCCTACCTTCAGAGTTTCATAATTAGCATTTCTTTTACTTAAAATAAGCCATCTAATGTTAACTAGCTGACAAGCATATTTTATCTAATCTGTCAGCTAACACTGGAGTTTAGGCATGAGCAGTGAAATAGAGGATTAGTTATTGTAGAGATACATTTTTACATCAACATAGACTTTATTATTTCATTTTAAGACATTTGTGAATCTTTTTACAATAAGCAGCCATTTGCTTTCACTCTGAAATTCAGGAGTTTACATGTCCAGATAAACATCCAGGTTTGTTATTTCATATGTATTCAGTTTCACTTTTTTTTGTAGCACCAATTCATAACAAAAGTCATCTCACTCCACTTTTTATACAGTGCAGGGAAGAGATCCAACAGTTGTTTAGGGATTTATATGTCTAATTAATAACATAAACTCTTCAAGCCTTGTTGTGTTGTGCTCTGCTTTAAAGGCACATCTGGCGTCTTCTCGTTGCTCAGTATGAATGAAGACCTGCAGCGCGTCCCACCTGTTCTCTTCATTTTCAACAAGCACACAAATCATGCCAAAAACTCCGTGGACAGGAGACGGCACTGACATGAAGTCTAATTGACTTACTGATGAATGAAACATAAATAATATCATTTATCTGATTTGAGCAGATAAATTACTTTTATCGAACTGTAAATGAAGCAAGCTGCTACACAGAACATATATTCACATAAATGAGTCATTATCAGACAAAGAAGTGTTAACCTTAGCCCCTACTTACTAATGGGACACATGCACAGCTACAACAAACTTTTAAAATGAATGTTATCCTTACTCAGTCAGCCAAGAGGACAACAGATCAGACTGAAATGAGTGCTGGATCCAGAGGCCTGGTTAACTGGTCTCTGTACTCTCAGTGTTCATGTGGTTTATTGGGCTGAAGTCTTGTGTAAGAATGCATCATGTCTTCAATATAATATGTTCTATGTTATTCAGAAACTTGTATAAGCATGTAACACAGTTAGGTCTGTGTGTGAGACTGAACTCTGAAGTTGTCCCTCTGCACTCTGTGGGAGGCCAAAACCATCGGCAGTCGTTATGTGTGAACTACTCAAGAACGCATCAAAACGGCTCCCCAACACATTTCTGACACATCGCCAACGTCTGCCAGATATCTAGCATTCCAAATATCTGGAGAAGTCAGCCGACTCGACATCCACATCCAGCAAATGAGAGCAGGCGGCTACTTTTTCACTGCAAAACACGTTTCACTCCCCTCCAGCTCTCTCTGTAACTCAGACAATCCCTGCTACCTGCGTGTGCTGATCCATTATTTCACCCAGATTCTTTGTCTTTGTGATTGGCATCTTCATAATAACAAATAAAAGCTGTTTCATGTGTAGGTTCGTGGCATTTCCCCTTTCACATTTCACCTGTGTTTTCTTGACAAAATGTGGTTTGGAGACCA